CATTTATAAACTGCATTATACGCCGTATTAAATAATAAAAATAAAACTTATACTGTTCACAAAATACAAATTTTAATGCATTTAAATTTATATTGAAGGTTAATCGCCAGAAAGGAAATCACACAATTTAAAAGTAAAATCACTGACAATTATGAAGAAATTAAAAGCACTAGCTGTATTAAATTACATAAATCCAAATGATTGAGAGAATTTAATTCATTTCGCCACATTTTACAAACTCAATGAAAGGCATACTGCGGCCGTCAAAGTTGAAATTTTAGCCATTAATTATTTCAGACAAATAGTTTATTCCTCCTAGCAATATTAGCATTTAAAGAATATTAAATTACATAATTAAATACAAATACAAGTGTTCAAGAAAATCTTTATGCTTTAAATTAAGCTAATATTCAATTTAAGTAATAATATTTGATGAGTAAATATTTTGCGACACTATTACACACTTACTTGACATCAAAAATTAAATTGCATAATGTCATATTTTCGAAAAACACTAAATTTAAATCAATAAAACAAGAAAGGAAGCAAACTTCGAAATTATAATGCCCTCTGCAAGGGTCAAATCAAAGATTACTTTGTGAAACGAAAAATACCTACTATGCAATTAAAAATACATGTGGCCATAATATGAACTCTGAAAAATAAACAAAATATAAAAAGAAAATAAATAGGTATATCGAAGTTCTAATTAAAAAGTGGCCTGCAATCAAGCGGCAAACTTTTATTTAATAACATTTGTTGGTATTAAATAACTTTTCTAAACGAGCCACTTGTGAGAAATAAAGTTGGACGTTATATGTTTTTTATGAGGGGGAAGCAGCGAAGAATTTACATCAGCAAAACTTGCGTTATGAAGTGGGGTAGCTGAGCATAGAAAACGTATTTTGTAACAAATATTTGCCGAGCATCTTTTGACAAATTATGACTTGAGTCCTCGTGCTTTCGACTTGTTTTTCTCGTCCTGCTGCTCCTTCTGCTCCTGCTGTTGGCCCTTGTGTTTTTTCCCAGAAAACTATGGCTCTAAGTTGCCATGACAGCGTTGCCACATTATACAACAAGTGCTCGAAATAATAAAGTTAACAGCACTTTAATAGTTACCGCCTGCCACTCCCACAAATGGGGGCGTGGGTGTGGGATTCGACAACCAAACGAGGCAACTCCAGCAGAGGCAACATGTTGCCGGGCAACGGGCATAAATGAGGGGCTTATCCCATCGAGCAGCACAACTTGAGCAATAAAATTGCCTTTATGTACGAGAGTCTGTGACGAGGATGAGCTGAGAAAATGGCCTGCGATATTCCTGGCATGCTCAGATATACAGCCATAATGGGCGGGACAGCAGATAAATTTTCGACTTTGATTTCTGCGCTTAATAAAAATCAAATTTAAATGCGGCTGACAACGCACCAGAAATTTGCCGATTCGTCGCAGTTTCATGTGTGAAGTGTACACTGAGAAAAATCTTAATATCCCAATTAATTTGGTTTTTATTTTTACAATTTATACAGAACTATATTTTTAAACTAACGAAAGTAAGTTTTGAGAGAAAGTGTTAAGCAGATTTGAAAAACATTTAAATAAAATCAAGTTTAAGTGCCCAGATTTTGTATGAAGCGGGTAAGAAACTAATTCGAAAAACGAAAACAAACCCAAACCTTTAAAAGTAAATCAATATGTTTTTAACTTAAATAACATCTATATCATTACATAGACCAAAAATTTTGTCAATATCAAATGTTTTGACAAAACAAAGAAATATTTTTTTGTTCTTGAAACTTAAAAAAAACCTATTTTTGGGTCTTCAGAGAAAATATAATAATTGAAATACTCTAAATGGATGACGAATTCCGTTGATATTTTCATCTTTGTGTAGCCAAAGAGCTTGGGGCCAGCAGTGGAGGCATTTACGGCCAGCTGATGACATGGCTTCCATCGCTGTTCCTGCCCGTGGAATGTAATAAAGTTGAAGCTCCTTTTGGCTCTCGACTGTTTGGACTTTATGGCTGGCACATAAAAGGAAATCAAAGCCACCGAGAGGAAGCCATCCGCAGCTGGTCAAAGAGTCAAAGAGTCAGTCGACGTATTCCCACTAAATGGCTTTTGCAGGGAGTAAAGTGCTATGGAAACTTGGGCCAGCAGCGCGGCTAATAAGCTCTGCGGACCGGCGAATCGGTGGGCCTGCGGGGCGTATGCTTAATATTTTGAGCCAGTTGGCGCTTATATAAATGCCGTTGCCCAGAGCACCAAAGCGTAAAGTTCTGCATAAATTCAATTAACTAAAAACATGCAAATGAAAACTTTTTTGGAGGGCGACAAAGCCGCGGGGCGAAAGCGGAGAAATGCTAAAATGCAGCTCATTCAGATGCACAGAAGTGGCAATTGGAAGTGGCCACCAGGCGCATTTGCCCAGCATCCGTTCCCCCCCCTTTTTCCATTTCCCCCGTTTTCCGCCCTTTGAAGAGATGTTTTCTAATTATTTCGCTCTAGCTTTGGGAACATCCTTTCTGCCCCGGCTCAGTCAACTATGCGTGTATATCAGCAGTAGGAAATGCAATAATGTAACGAGTAATTGCGCAACCAAAAAAAAAATAATCAGAAAAAAAAAGTAATAAGAGGAACGCGAAGTTACGCAAGGCGTAGTGGGTGGGTGGTCAAAGGCCAGGCAATCGGGCGGGGATAACGGCACAAGGACACCACGGCCAGCAGTTATGAGTGCGGTATAAGCGGTCCGAGGGCAATACAACAAAAGTTGTCAACGACAGCAAAGGCAACGCCAACGGCGACGGCACTAAAACAAAGCCCGTGGCAATGGCCGTTGGGTGGTAAATGGTGGCTGGTGGGTGGTGGACAATGGGCGATGGAGCGGATGGGGGCGTGGACGTGCAACGTGGCCGCAGAAAGTTCAAGCCCTGTTCACGGGCCCCAGCCACGTGACTCTGTTGCTACACTCCTACAGTCCTACACTCCTGCGGGCGACTCGCCTCGTGCCCCGGCCCAAAAAGGATATTAATTTCCCAAAGGTGCCGTTTTTGCCGGCGAAAATCACGCAAAATGCGACCGTCGCACTGGAGTGGGCCATCGAGTCGGGGGACAACTTAACAGGAGCCGGGAAAGCAGTGGAGCCTTTGTCAGACGGAATGTTACACACCCTAGGCTGCAATTAGAGGTACAAAGTAGTCCATTCATTGCTTCACAGTTCATTCACGAAATTTTAAGTACCCATCTCACACACTGTTATTCATTTGCAACGGGCCGTACTGCGATTACGTGACATAAAACAATAATAGACTTTGCATTTGTATTGTGTACATGAATATATTATTGTTTCTAAATACTTTGAGGAAATACTCTTTGGACAATTGTTACAAGTTTTAAACATAACAAATAAATGTTATGTTGTGCCTACCAATAATTTAAAAATTTATTAATATTCTTTGACTTCCCCTTAGGTATTTAAATTAACAGTCATTCATTAACGAAAAAATACAATACAAGTGGAAAAATGTATATAAAACTAACCGAATTGATTTATTAATTTTGTTTTAGAAAAACTTATGTCAACTTTTTCCTTTCCTTTTACTTTACTTTACAACTTTTTTGCTGTTAATGACATTTTACTTCGTCATTTTCCGCAGAACTTGCTTTTTAAGGCTGCCAAGACTCCTGCCAAAATCAAAGGACCCCGACCGCTGCTGAATATATCACCGACGCAAAATAAAATTAAAACGCACGCACACAAATTAAAAACTTTCAATAGCAACAATTTCCATTTAAAAATTCAACACCATGCGCAGGGACAGGCGTTGAGGCTGAGAGGATTGGGAAATGTGAAGGGGCTGGGGAAATGGGTTGGGGAAATGTGTTGGGGAAATTGGGAAAAGCGTGGGCGGGCGAACTGGCATTTTAGCTACCAACCGCTTGTTGATGGCCATTGAAGTGGGGCGACAAACAGATTTATGAAAACTGGAAAACTGAAAAACTGAAAAGTATCCATTGTAATTTAACTGCGCGAGTGCCAAAGGAGCGCTTGTGGGAGCGGGAGGAGGAGCGGCACCAGCGATGGCAAGCTGCTGGGGAGCGGGCAACAATTAAAACTATTTTGGCCAAAACAATATCGGGTTGTTGCCATCGCCGCCAGCTTTCCCAGTTGCTAGTTGTTTGCAGCTCCGTGGCGCGGGTTGTTCGCTGCTGGCTACATTTTATTAGAATGCAGGCCGGGTCGGGGGTCAAACCGCAGTAAGGGGGGCGGTGAGTGGGCAAGAGGGAGTGGCAAGCGGCAAGAGGGAGTGGCAGCCAGAGGGCGATAACGGGTGAAGGCGAAAGGACAAGAGCAAAGCTGATTGCTTGCTGCAGTGGCAATGTCTGACAGGACATGGGGCTTGGCCTGGCTGGCTATACCCTTGCCGCAAGGTTATTCAAATTCGTAGAACCTAAGCTCGCAATTTGACAAGTTTGCTAAACAGGTCTGGGGATAAAAGACTACAACTTTGCTGAATGTCCTGCTTTCTTTACTGCAAACTTAGGAAACCAATATATCCCTTTGCAATTTATCTGTTTTTTTTTTCATTTTGTAGGCTCTCTGTTGCCTTTTTTATATATTGTACAGTACCTTTCTTTTATATGTGTATGTGTGTATTCATTTAAGATTTTTGTTACTTTAAATAAATGTTAACGACTCGAAATGTGGAATAAAAATATATTGAAATGGGGCTTTATAGAAGTAGAACTTAAGTCCAGAAAATGAAAATCAAAAAGGGTATGCGAGCTTCGGCGCTGGCAAGCCGCATAACTTCTGTTGTTTTGTCATTGCTGCTGTCTGTTTATTGTGCCAGCGCTGCAGAAATCCAAGACATGTCCTTTGGCCGGGGATAAAGTGCAGTGGCAGCGAGGACGCGAGAATGCGGATGAGCAGGAGCTTAGCAAAACAACAGCTGTTGGCCTGCGTACCCCTGACCCCTTGACCCCCTGAACCCATTGAATTGCTCGCCCAATGGCAGGCGGAATTTATTGCTTTAAGACTTAATCGATGGCTATGGGCATTTCTTGGTCTTCGGATCTGGCAGTTCCTGCATCATGAAGCCGGGCGGCGGTGGCTGGATCTTCAGGGTGGTGGGTCCTCCCTTCGGCTCGCTGGCATATCTCCCATTTTGGGGACCCGCCGGCGGCAGCTTGTCACACCGCAGATCCGCCAGGATGTGGTCCAGACTCTGCTCATCCAGGTCCTCGTACATGTCGTCATTGACGGCCAGAACCGGGGCATTTACACAGGCGCCCATGCAGCTGTCCTCCTTCAGGGTGAACTGCATATCCGGCGTAGTCTGACCGTGCTCCAAATTCAACGTCTTCTTGCAGGCTTCAAAGATCTCGTCGCCACCACGCAATTTGCAGGGTGTCGAGGTGCAGACACTGACCACGTATTTACCGCGTGGCTTCATGAAGAACATGGTGTAGAACTGGGCCGCCTCGAAGGCCTTCATCGGCTCGATTTTTATGATCTCCGCCACGGCGTGAACGGCGCTGATCGAAAGCCATCCCTGCTGGCGCTGGGCAATGTCCAGGAGCGGGAGCAAGGCTCCCTTCCACTCGGCCTCCGGATACCAGGCGAGCAGGGCCTTCACCCTGCGCTGGTTGTCCTCCGAGAACTCGAACTTCAGCTTTTCGCGCATCACACAGGCATCCATTTGGACGCCTCCTCCGGTTCGGAGAAGGGATGCCAGGTGAATGGTACGGATTCCCCGAAGCAAGCGCTGCATCTCGGCATGAAAAATATGATATTCTACCGTGTGGCTTTCCTAACGTTTGATATTAAAATTCCTATCCCTTTGACATTCTCCTCTTAGCATACACAAATAAATATTTCATATAAGTGGCCATTATCTGGCTTTGTTCTCAATAAATCAAGTAGAAAATAATTAATATCAGTGTCAAAATAATGGTCGTTAAATGAATACAAATGAGCTTAATGCTTTTTGATAAAGTTCAATTAATGATAATGATATGCTTACTTAATTTTGTCATATAAATAACTACAGCTAAGCGTATACATCAATTTTGAACAAACTCTTGGATAAACAGTGATATAGATATATTAAATTATGTTGAAGTTACAAAACAGAGTTTTTAAATAGAAAAACAGCCCCAGGAAGTTTTTCAAGAACTACTACTATTTTTATTTTAAGTGACATGTTACATTTCTCTAAAATATTTCGCCAAAACATTTATTATACATTTTTAAAAAACATAGAGTGCCCTTGCAGAGTGCAATATTTAATTTAATGTTTAGTGACACCTCTGTGAGAGCCAGTGAAATTGTGTATTGTTCTGTCTTACCTATATTGGAAGTCGGTGAATGCTGGCGAAATAGTCACCGAAACGAGTTGACCAACTGCTCGCCATGACAACGTGGATGTGGTGAACATGCATGCCAATCAAGAGCCCTGCTATAAATTGTTCAAATTGCATGCCTCTCTTAATTGTCAATATAAGTGCTGCAGGTCGCTTAGTGGCCTGGGACCACGATAAAAGGATACCATTTCCCAGAGTACTTCACACACAATCGCAGTGGTACGGTAACTCGCTTATCACCACCTGTTTCTCTGCTCATTTACGGCGTTTTTATTACGGGTTATTAATATATACACGCGTGAATATACAATTCCCAAAAGATTAGATCGTAAAACGCAGGCTTTATGTTAGCGCAGTATCCGATCAAAATCCATAATAAACAATTAGGATAATGGCCATACAAAATGGCATTGACTGCAGATAGCATAACGCTAATGTTGTAAGTACATGTAATGGGCAAGTATCAAGGATCCAGAGCACATGTGCCCCACAAAAAACTGTCGAAACTGCCAGCACTCAAGGAAATTAACCATTTCATGACTTTCAAGGGGCTGTTAAGTTTGCAATGCTGTTCTGGAGATATATATATATATATATAACTATTTAATTAAATAACTTATCCAAACATATTTTTTGTAATAAAAAAATAAATACAAAACAAAAAAAAACTAAATAGTCGAAAATTCTGGCTTAAAAATCAAATGCAACATTGTTAGCAATTGTAATTACCAACCAATAAACTTACTAAAATTAAAAACTATCAAAAATTGGTTACTAATCTTATTCAACCATTTTGGTTTTTACCTTGGTTAGTAATCTAACCCTAAAATGAAATTTCTTAGAGACCTCTGACCCACAAGAGGACCTACAAATATGCATGGTAATGTGCATTTTGGTCGGCCAAAAGTTGTGCGGTCCCAAAAAGCGGCAGCAAAATGGGAACTGCAATTGGCCACTAAGTACTTTCCAAAGTCTTTTGCATGGCAGTTCACATAATTCGTGTTGTGATAGTCTCGGCCTCGTTTTGCTCCGGTTCCCGGGTGGCAGCAGTTTTCGACGGTTTTTGTGCCCGAAACATAATTAAGTGCTTTGCAAGTTGTTGACTGTGAGGGAATTTGTCATAACATCATGGGAAGGGGAAAGCAAGAACGGCCCATGTAAACGGGTAGCAGAACCCGTTGATAATGTACTAAGTAGTCATAAATTTTACTTTTATGCCATGGTAGAACTGTGGAGAAGCGAAAGCAAACCAGAAGACAGAGGCCAGAAGCCAGAAATCAAGAGCCGGCGAAAAGTGAAACGGGCCCTGCTGCTGCTGCTGCCGTTGCTGCTACTGCCCTTTTGACCCCGTCGACAAGCTCAACAAGTTGCGAGTTCGCGACTTTCCGAGCTGATGAAGTGGCATTGGCCGAGGGCCGGACTTCAGTTGTAGTTGGCCAGCGCTGGAGTGGAGGCTGAAATTAAATCAAACATCAAACTCAATCGCAAAGTCAAGAACGGGAAAAAGGACCTCTCCGCCGGCAAAATGAAACGAAATGGGACAGGGACGAAGTGCCAAAAGTGTTAGCAACTTTGCCATATTTCTGTTGATTATACTCGCACAAAACTGTGGCCGAGCACGCAGCCACGGGCGTGATGGATTAGCAAAGTTGGAGTTTAGCGCACAGGCTCTCCCTGTTTTTAATTCTGCGAAAATATACGAAACTTTGTGTGCGCAACTGCTGACGGCCACGCCCCCGCCCGCGCGCCCTCTTGCGCCTCGGGAGGTCAAAGGGCGTGGCCTGGTGCGAGGGAAGCCCATGTTCCATGTTTTCGATCAACTGCAGCAGGACTTCGAGGCGAAATGGCAGCGAACAACTACAGTGAAGCCTTTTAGTTTATGGCAGCATTTGGACTGGGAACAGGAACAGCAGGCTGAACGGTTGCAGGCCCAGTCGAACTCTAGTTTTGATATCCTGGCAGAGTTGTACAAGGATCAAAAGGCTTATGAGCAGACAACCACAACCACAAAGCCTTTTCATGTGCTGCAAAAACTGGAAAAGGATTTAATCAAGGCCGATAGGCGCAGCACCACCATTAAGCCATTTCACCTTGTTGGAACCCTCGTAGAGGACTTAAGAAACAAGGATCTGAAAGAGGGTTATCTGGAGCCCACGGAACTGGAACCCTTGGCCGAACACAAGGCCGAGTTAAAACCCGAGTCGCGGGCCAAGCAAAGTCAAAAGCGCAGGCGGAAACGCATTCGCCGCAGGAGGAAACGAATTCGCCGTCGCCGGAAACGGACACGTCGACGTCGCCGGAAGAAGAGAAAGAAGAGGCGGAAGAAGCGTAAGAAGAAGAAGTACAAGGGCGACAAGAAAAAGAAGAAGAAGGGAAAGCGGAAGCGGAAGAAGCAGCAAAAGCCGGAGGATCACGAGGAGCACTCGATTTTGCAGCCGGCCCATCTGATCTTTGCCAATCCCACCAAGCAGCCGTACTACCACCATCCCCATGGATATCCATATCCGGCGAACAACCAGATGCAAGTTCAAACCATACCCACTGCCTTGCTGAACGCCTTGACCACCAAGAAACCCAGCACGGTGACCACCACCACCACCCATCGACCCTTCAGCAAGATCAAGTATCTCCTGAGGCACAACAGCATCTTCAAGAAGAAGAAAAAGGAGTACCTGAGCCACGTCGGCCAGGTGCTGTATCCATTTGTTAAGTTTGTGGCCTTCTTCACGGTCCTCAATCCCTTCACGCTGGGCGTCTTCCTCTTCACCCTGATCTCCCCCGCCGTCTTCGGCTTCCTGGGCTTTGTGGCCCTCAGTGTACTGGTCAAGCCCTTCCTGCATCTGGTGTTCGGGGTCAAGCGGAATGTGAATGCCTTCGAGCGCAAGCGGTGGCTGGCCCACCGGCAGGCGGAGAAGTTGAAGCTCAACCTGCGGCCAGTGACCATCCACAAGCACTTCTACCAGCAGAGTCCGGTACACTCCGCACCGCCGGTCAAGCTCCGTCCAGTGGGTCACTGGCGGAGAGAGGGCGACGGCCCTGGGGACCAGATGCCTCCTCCCACCATCAGAGCTCCCCAGAGAACCACCCCAAGACCAGCAGTGCCACCTCCAATGCATCGCTATAATCCTCTGCTGCCTGACCATCGCAAGGCCCTCAACTACGACGAGTCTGGAGTCTTCCTGATTTAGTAACCTTAAGTGTTTCGCATTTAACAAATATGATTGCAAAAATAATAAGAAATTAATTATATATATGTATATTGTTAAGAAAGTAAACAAAGCAAAAAAAAAATGAATAACTTTCGATATGTTAAACATTTTTAAATACAACTGGAAAAAATTATTGAAAACAAACTGAGTTCAGGTAAGTAAGGGTACTATTTGTCTTATGAGCTGTTGGTAAAAAAATAATTTTTCACTATGCATTTACAATGCTTCATTGTACTTTTAAAAGTTACCTGAGCTAGTTATTTCTATACTTGTCTTTGTAAAATTAAGTACAACTAAATCTTAAGTAAGGGATACAATTTTTAAATGTATATTATTACTGAATATCTTTTAGTTCTTTTTTCAGAATAATGTTGAAATACACATATATTTTTCATTATGATAATTTCTGTACTATTTGTGAGATGAAGTTTACCTAAATCTTAAATATATAATACTATTTTTAACTCTAAATGTTGAATAGTATTTTAGTTCCTTTTACACAATTAGATTAATATCATGTTGAAACTAAATATCTTATTTATTTTGAAGATTTTTAAATTTATCTTTAATCCAAAAGAGTTTCAGGCTCCCGTCGCGAAGGCCACATACCAATTCCAAAACTTAATTACGCTTACACACTCCAGCGAAATTGAAGAGAGGGCCCGGCACTTTGGGGACTTTGGACCCCCACTCACATGCGGGAGCTGCATTAAATTTAACATGTTGGCAAAGTGAAATTAACAACAGCCAGCCCAAGATTGTTGCCGAAACCCAATTAAAAAGTTTGGCAACTGGTAAAGCGGTTGGCCAACATCCCCGAACCTCAGGACTTAGCTCACGAGTCGAAAACCAGCTTGTTAATGTCCAGCTCCCGTAGTTGAAGCAACCGCTCGTCGTAGCCCCGGCGAAGGAGCTCCTCTTCCTGCTGATCCCTCACTAAAAGGACTTCGTGGAGCGGCAAACTGAGCTGAAGATCGCTGCGCTCGAACAGTTTTCGGGCCTCCCAGCGGAAGAGTTCCACTGCCTCGCAAAAGTCCTTGTGCCGCTCAAGGAAGTCCTCCAACCGAGGATGAAGCTGTACCAGGTCGTCCACGGACGCCAGCAGTCGCATCATGAGGAATCGGCCGTACCGCCTGCGAACATATGAGATTGGCATGTCCTGTATATCCGACTTTTCCCCTTCTCGTGTGTAGCTCCACAACGTGAGTCCCAGGATGAGGGCCACCTTGACGCCAGCTAAGTGAAACATAACACTCAGCGGAGTGATCTCCTCTTGCATCACTACACTGCGCCACCAGAGGAGGTCCACCCCGTAGTAGAAATATCCAAAGTCCAGCACACCCATCACAAGAAGACAAACTAAGGCGATGATCCCCACCACTTCGTAGTGTAGTCGAACTTGGGTGGAAACCCATCGCCAGCTGCCGATGATCTTGGCCATTTGGAATGAGGAAGTAAAGGAAGTATGCGGAGCACCTAACCGAGATCTAACTTTGAAATTTGGAAACCTAATACTGGTACAATTTAACTCAGCTAAACTGACAGATATTCAAATGGAAATGACTTTTATTTTATGAGGGTGCAAAACCGAACTCATGTAAAAAGTGATGTTCATCTAGACCAGCTCAGCCAACCTCAAAATGTTGAGATGCAAGGTGCCAGAATACATGAATTTGCGGGCACACACAGATTTGATTTCGACGTGAGCACTAAAGTCCGACTCTGGTGGCATATGGAACGGTTTGCTGGGATCGTCCTTTCCGGCAATGACATCCTGCAGCAGATCGACTACACTCTTCGGAGCATACACTACGAATTTTAGCAAAAGTCGCGAATTGTCAGAAGACGAGGGTCCGATTCCATAGGTGCATACAAAATTATCTGTATTCTTGTGTCCCCTGCGAGAGAGAATACTGTTCAACATAAAAATACTAAGATTTCAACTAAAAACGGGTATATAGTATACCCGAATTTACTAGGTTTCTATCGGCAGACAATCTATGACATAGTAAAGAACTAAAACACATCCCTTAAACTGAAGGCTTACCAAAAGTTTTTGTTCAACTTATCGTAAAAGAGCAGCTCGGCAATAATGTTTATGAAGTAGATTCGTTTGACGGCCTCCACAAAGTGTGATTTATCTTCGCGCTCGTCAATGCCTCCGAGGCAGATGTTGGCCAACTCCACCTGCAGATGCCAGTGCAGTAGCTTCATGCCGCACTGAGAGACTTTAAATTTTCGGAATTGCTGCAAGCTCGAACACTCATCAGATGGAGACTTAAAAACAATGCAATGTTACCCACTCTCAAAAGGCCAAATACCGCCATCGTATAGTGGAGGCGTTTGTTCTGAACTTCTCTCTTGGCATCAGTACCTAAGTCCAGGTCAAGCAGGAATCGACCAAGGAATCTTGTCAGGGGGTCAGCCTCCGGGATACCTTCTTCGTTATAACTTAAGGGTAGCTCTTCGTGGAAGGTCATCAGACTGTCACCGATGCGCGACTCGGCGACACCCTCGTGGAGAAAGTAAGCGATAGATTGCCGAAGAATCTAAGGATATTTAGTAGAGTACAGAGTGCAAGCCAGTAAAATATAAACCCACCTGCAGCATGATCCTTGTGTCCCGCACCCTGATACTCTCCATTGGCGTTTCCCGATGGGCCACCTCATAGCACTTGTGGTGGTGCAAGATAAACGAATTGTGAACTTGTTTCAGCTCCTCTGACACACTACGCCACATTTGGTGGTGCCAAGGGTCCAAATGGGACATCACCATATCCAGGACATCAATCGGCAAATCCAGTAGCTGAACTGCTTTCCTTCCTTGAATATCCGGGGATTCATTGGATTCATTGTGCCCTGCTCCAAACATTTTAATTTGAGAATAATTGTATTTGAGTTGAATTTGTAAAAAAGACACTAGCCTCAATGCCATGCAAATGAAAAGGTTTCTAGTGATTTCTAGTTTCTTCTAATAAAGTGGTAACGAATTTCTAACTTATATTGAAGCGATAGTGCAAAACTTACACACCTTCGTTATGATCGAAAATAAGTGTACACTAATCAAGAAATGGTTGCAGCATTGAAACACTCCCTACTCTATCAGCTTTCTTTAATACGATTTTCTATTATTATTATTATTTTTCCACCAAGAAACCAATTATTCGATGACTATTGAAATTATATCGCAAGTTTATGCGTTTCCAGCTCCCTCACTGTGTATTTGCTTTAGCTGACGGTATTGGCACTTTGTTCACACAATACACAGAGCTAATATCAATTGCGCCTTTTGCAATTTGCCAACATTTTGCAGGCCATCATAATGGAATCGCCTTGGGAACGTCATTTTGTTTGGCTCAAAACAAGTCGTTCGTCGCCAGCACTGTGCACAGTGCATTGTGAAGATGCTGGAGAAGATTGCAAATACTGGTGAGAGTTGGGGTGGAGCAAGAGACATAGTTTGAGCCCAGAGAAAATGTTCCTCATTCAAGACCACACGGGAAAGAACATCATGTTTTTAAAATTTGTTTTTAGTTCTGATTGGTTAAACTACAAATTATTTTAAAGATTAGAGATTTTTTTAGGTCAATCACGATTTCAATATAAGATGGTTGGAAAAATAATCAGCAGCATTAAGATGTCTGACACTTAAAGAACATCCAATAAAGTAATTTCTTACTAAATACTTACGATTGTAGGTCATTTCTAATAAAATTTAAGTAATTTCGTTTTTTGGGTGCAAAATGAAAGCAATTGCTATGATTTTTTCTCAGTGCAGCACTCGAAGTGCAAGGCAGCAAATAGAACGAGTAATAATAAATAAAATTGTAGCCAATTCATAAGGATTTTCATTTTGTCGCTTCAATCAGGCAATTGATGGTCTCTGGAAGAGGAGATGTTGTGGTGGGGGGTGTGGGGTTTTCCGGGGGGAAGTGGGCTATTCAGGACCACAGGACAGGCGAACGACAGGCAAACAACATTCATTCATATTTGCCAAGTGCCGATTGAAGCTGCCTTTGCATTCTGCTGATCTCCTTCAATACTGAATAACCACCCACCTTTCCCACAGTCCACAGTCCACTGCCCCTCTGCACCCTCCCACCACCCACACCACCCACTGGCAGCACAATGTGCGTATAAATAACGGATTTCCTGTTATAAAATATTTGTAACGACATTTTCCCCGATTTATGTATCCTCACACATACCCATACATACGGAATATGCATGCTTGGTTTACCAAGTATATGGAATAAGGGCTCAATAAAATAGTATTTGTTATAAAACAAAAAAAGATTTTAAGGAATAAAACATTCAGTTGCTTAAGACATACATATATGTAGTTATATAAGAACAGAGCTACAGCTCAAACCAATTTGTTTAATAGCTCTGAACTTTAACTATAAGTTGGCATTGAATAAATAAATATAAGAACTGAAAATTTAATTGATTTGAACTTGTTAAATGCCATTAATTAAAAGTGTAATAAATATACTCACAAAAAACAAGACTTATTAACCTTTTGAATCTTAATAAGCTCTTGTTTTTAGCATGCAAACTATTATTTTGAGCACAGCTGTATGGAATAGCGCTGGAATAGTGAATATATTGCATTGTGCCAATGCCAGTGGATGAGCATGTACCTATAGATAGACATATAGTGCCACGATATCTCCGGCAGCCGCTCACCCCTGCCAATTGCTGCCACTCAGTCATGGCTGACAGTTATGGCTATATGGATTGGGCTATGGATATAGATATCGATATGGATATGTGCCGGGTAACGTCTTCGGATTGCAGCTGTCAACGCAGCAGCAAATTTAGTTTCGCCCGTCCTAAAAGTGCTGCTCCGGAGTCGGGAGTGGAGTGGAGTGCCAGTGGATTGATGATGGCCCGACTGGCAGATGCAGTTGTACTTTCGCCTGCTGCTTGCACAACTCCGCCGAGTTGGGGGGTGCATAAATCACAGTCATGCACGTGTTAATATCCTTGAATGCGCTCGAAAGCTCCATTGTTGTCAGCGGATATGCAGCACACAAAAGGTGAATGGGGGCGGTGGGCGTGGGGCTATGCATCCCGTTTCGGTGCGGACAAATGGTCATGGGTCAGGCCACAAATGATACCGGGGAGCGCATAATTTCCAAATGATTGGCAACACAATTATTCCAGCAATGCGGCACAGCTCACCGCATCGAGTTTAGAAACGTGAAGTAGGAGAAGGCACCCTGGATGATCTATGGACCAGTAATCAATAGGTTTTGTCAATCAAAACAAACCAAAATGTAGCTCACTTTCAGCACTGTCGTCAGACTGACCCGGAAATATTTTAGGCCCGTCATGAAGAAGGGTCTCGAGTTGAGTTCAATGGCCAGGCTCACCAGTTTCATCAGCCTGACATTCTCGCCCACATTGTCCGACTGATGGACCACCTGCTCCCAGTCGGCGGTATAGTACATCATTCCCAGTTCGTCTGTCTGTAAGGGGTAATATTCTAGTATTAATGACTATGGTGAGGAGAAACACCTACCGTTTTGAGGAGAATGGACCCAAGCATGCCAAGGGCCAGCAACTCCATGAACTTGGCCAGGAACCACACAATATAAGCCACATTACCCCAGGGGTTCTATAAAAAAAGAAACTGTCTTTAATTTTAAACTTACTGGAAATTAGTAATGAATACTGTTAAATTTGTAAACGGTTTAAGCAATTAATTAAGCATTAGAAATTAAAATGCATGATGAATGATCTTTAAAAATCTAAGTTGTATAAACTTTAGGTAGAAGAAATTATATGTAAAATAATACATTACTTTTCCACTTTAAAGATAAACAGGACTTTCGAACTTAAAAAGAAAACCCTTTTTTTGGGAAGAACTGAACTTTTTTTGTACCTTCAGTTACAGAAGTTTGATTTTCTAAGCAGCGAACTAAAGATAAAGAATGCTTAGCAATAGAATATTATGAGAAATATTATATAGAGTTGTAAAATTGTGATTTGCGAACACTTAGAGTTGAATTACAAAATTACAAAATCTAAGCTTGATAAACCGTTTTTTTTTTTATAAATAATAATATTATAGTTCTAACAGTCAGTAATTTTCCCTCGCATAACAAACCGTAAAAGCCTTAAAGAAGAGGGCGCAGAGGAGACCGGCACTGAAGGCAAACATGACGAAGATGCGAAAGCTGAACTCCTCCTCCATTCGCTGGCCAAAGTCCCTGAGGGCCGCATTCCGCCGCAGGATGTGGGTCAGGAGCAGGCGATATCTGGTGGCTATGTTCGCAGTGCCACGCCCCTCCAAAAGTTTGTGGGCTGAGCGGTGGAGATCCTGGCCCAACTGGACGTAGCGGGCGTTCAAGTGCATCATCAGCTCGCCCAGCACATTCAGTTCGCCGAAGAGCATGCTGGTGATGACGAATCCCACCCAGAAGTTGAGCCCCAGCAGCGGGATGAAGTACTGCAGCTGGGTGTTGTCGAAGGGATACACCTGCTTGTAGAGCATTTCGCGGCGGTGGTAGATGACGTTCGTCACCGGGACCAGAAAGAAGTTGAACAGGGCCAGCAGATAGACGGTGGAGTTGAGCCGCGTGGCCAGCATTTGCCTCTGGATGCCGGCAAACAACTGGGGCATCGCCTCCTCGCTCACGTAGATCTCCGCATAGAAACGCTGCAGCAGGTCCCGGAAGCGATCCTTGTGCCAGGCCAGCTGGTAGCAGCGTATCTGCATCTCCACAAGGATCAGATACGTGGGCATGCCCGTCAGTAGGTTGTCCATGTCCTGCCGATTGGCTATCAGGTAGTGGAAGTCCACCTCGTTGTGCTCGCAGAAGACGAGGAAGCCCACGAAAATCAGCACCCGGTCGAGGAGAACGCTCCAGCGACCCGAATCCGCCTCCAGTGGCCAGGCGATGTGGTTCAGGAGGCGATACAGGGACACCGGCCAGGGCATCGGCGCCAGCTCTCCGCCGGGCAGACGGGGTCTGTAGCGACGGAACCGGATGGACATGACTGCACGCCATCCCCCCGGACGGACTCCCATTTATATTCTAATTTTAATTGGCCCCGGGTCGAGGAAATATTAAATTCATGACCCAATCATAAATTATTCAGATTCATTTGCGTTTGTCAAAATAAACCCGAAATCGAAACCAAAACCAAATGGCAGTCAGTCACAAAAACCAAAACACCATTGCTGATTTGCCTGCGATGTGGAATTCCAATCAAGTGGCAAGTTTGGAGTTAATTGAGGGGTGATTATTAGAGCTGTAGGGATGGGTTCTACTTTCAAATCAAACCATGTCAGCGGTAAAACATGTGACATCTGGTCAAGTAAAACCAAAACGCTTCCGTTCCCTATTTATATTCAAAATAATAAAAGTAATTGCGGGTAATTATAAATTAATCTATTTAATTGAACAACATTCAAGATTAAACATGTATGGTTTTTTTAAGCAGATTGAAATCAATTACAATCAATTTCTTTATCCCACCGGATGTAGGATATTATATTAGATTATGGAAAACAACTAATTGTATATATTTTTATTTATTTTCAAAAATGGTTTAAAGTGCTACAACCAATTCACAGTTAATTGCAGGTAAAAGCAAAATATTCTTAAGACTTCATCTGCTTGAAAATCAAATTAATATTTTAACGATTTCAAGAATTTAATCATTTAAATAATTTATATATAGTTTTCAAGACTGCCTAAAGTATTACGGAAAATTTAAAGTTAAATGCGGATAAGAGCTAATATTTTAAAGACTTCTTGTGCTTGAAAATCAAATCATTGTCCTAATCCACTCGCTTCATTGCATTTACCTCTCGGCGGACAGCCGCAAACAATCATTTTTATGATTATGCTAAAATAACACTGACATAATTCCAATAAAAACGAAATTGCCCTGGCACACTGACTGACAGCTCGGCCTTTGTGCGCCAGGTGAACCGGGCAGGATCCAAGGCTCTAGGAAGTAGGGAGGGGGAGGGTCGAGGGGAGAGCTTGGTTTCCCCACAAAGTATGCACCTGGGAACAGCTGCTCATGTGTGGGTATGTCCCGGATCCTGGCCATATCAAAGGACGACCGAAAAGGCGTCGGAGCAGAGCAAATTCAATTCACCACTGTTGATTCACCGCCCCGTTGTTGTTCTCTTTGCCTGGTAAAAAGGATGAAAGGCGAAGGCAGAAAGGCCAAACAACAGGAAAAACCCAAATAATATTAATATGCAAATTGAGTTTTTTAGTTGAGTGATCTAAGCGGATAACCGAGGGCCAAGTCAAGACTAACGCCAGTCTCCGGGGACCGACGATGGATGCGAATGCGGATACGGATATGCGGATATGCGGATGCGGAGTCCCTCTTTGGGGCATTTTGTTTTTGCTCTATTGATTGCCGTCGGGACGGGACACGTACGTCATACGTCGTACATACGTACATATCTGGAGCAGCAGTCGGTTGAAATGCGAGTTTCGAATCAATTGAAATCATATTTTATTAAACGTTTACGGGGCCATTTGCCACAGCCGCCGCGGGTGTTCAAATCTGCGAAAATATTTGCAAGAAGTCACCCAAACCATAGAGGAGAAACAAGCGCCGGCAGCGGCGAACGCATCAAGTATAAACACATAAAAAACATTATACGTACGGGTACGTACACATAAATCCGTAGCCGTATCCGTATCCGTATTTGTATCCGTATCTGTGTCTGTGTCGGCAGCCGTGTGAGCCGTGGGCAAACTCTGGATTCTGGGTTCTGGGTTATGGCATTCTGCTGATTCGCTCGTTTTTTGCGTGAAAACAAATTCCGAAAGAAATTGAAAACATCCAGACGCAGATTGAAAGCAAACGAGTGGCGATGGACGATGGCAAACAGATGGAGACCTGCGAAAAGGCACGAACCCCGGAAAGCTGCACCACCAGCAGAAGTCTGCGGAAGACCGCCCGAGGGATTGGCCAAATGTCACGCAACTTTCTACCAGCGCCAAGTCAACGAATGCGGACTACAGACTACCCCACCGGAAGGCGTTCGATCGGAATGGCAGTCCAAATAGCGGACCCCGCGAGCGATTGATTTATAATTACGCCAAGTATGGCCCGAAGTGGGTCAACAAAATAGCCGCTTTGGCGGATTTGCTCAATTAGCCAGCTCAGACATGAAACCGAAACGGGGACTGAGATTTAGACTTAGACTGAGACCCAAACTGCCAGCGATTCCTAATGACTTGTCCACTGGGAGCCACACTTTAAAAATACTTATTCAAAAACAGAAATCAAGAAAAAGTAAAAAAATAAATTTTGAGTGCATAATTTCCTTTTTAAAACTTTTAATTTGTCTTTCCTTTAAGTTGGTTGCGCCTTCATTTCTTTATTTTCACGTTACCCTCCACCTGTGGCACACGCGGCGTATGAGTGACCAGATATCCAGCCTTCGACGAAAACCTCCGCCTACCAGCGTACTATGTAAAATATATGCAAATTGGTTTATTTTCATATGGCAGGCACGTGTGTCGCCCTAGCATCAGCCAGATAAAACAAAAAACACAGGAGGGTAAAACCAAACATGCCGATGCATTGGGGAGTGGGCGCTGTCCATTGTCTAGACATAATTGGGAACCAGCTCCGGAGACCTGGTCAGTGTAACAAAGGGAAGGTACATATTTACTTTTCGAAAATTCCACGAAAATTCACAGGCTTGTGCTGTTGTCATTAAATTTAACGTCAATGGTCTTCATTTCAAAAGCTCTTCAAGCGTATGCTAGTACCATGCCGTTCTTGGAAAATCAGATATTAAGTTTGCACTAGAAGTTGTTTTGAAGGTATAAATTATTCATGGTTCTCTGAATTTTTCATTAAAATTTTCTCAGAATAGAAATGTTTTGAATCTGCCCCTCACTTTCCAAAATTATTATTATAAATAAATATTCTTTTACAAAATATTCATTCATGAGCAAGGTTTGCTAAAAAATAAATGGTTTGCTCCTTTTCACTTCAATATCTTTTATATTCACATCAAGTATTCTTTCGTTAAGGTCTTTAAATTTTAAACACTGGCTTAAATTCATATCAAGCCTTTAAGCATGAATTTGTTTGAATAAATGCCTCACCACTTCCAATTTGATATTTTTGATATTCATATCAAGTATACGCACTGATTTCCTATTTAGGGCATGATTCGCTGGCTATTAAAGAAACATAAGCGAAGTCACTTGAAATATGTAAACGGGAAACAAAACAAAAAGAGGCAACGGGTAGAAGAAGGATATATCCTGACAGTCAGCCGAACTCCTCCGAAAAGCCCCTGAATAATTAAAGCGTCTGAGGCAAGGCACCACACACCCACACACACACACACCAGCCCACACACACACACACCAGCCCACACACACATCCAGTATGATCCGATTGAACTGTGGATGGGGCCAAGAAAGCTGCAAATCGAACACGCAGGTTTACATGCGCCTAATCCCGTTGTCAGCCGGATGGCCCAAGGCTGACTCAGACTCAGACTCAGACTCCGACTCATTCACCTTGAAGCTACAAACACCACCCACCACCCTTCACCTGGAGGTCCTGGCGAAAGGCCTCGAACATGTCCGTTATTTTGTTTACAAGAAAACATAAATCTCGGCTCCTGCGGCCCGGCTGGAGTATGTCTGAGTGCGGTCGAAAGGATTGCCAGCCGTCGCCGCTGCCGTGTGAAATGGAACATATCATCACATCCCCGACTCCACACACTCACCCACATTTGTGTGGGTGTTGGCCGGGGTTACGGCCGCCCACAAAAAAAAAAAAAAACACCAAAAAAAAAGAAAAAGGACTACGGACTAAGGACCAAGGATGAGTGCCATGGTTTTGGGTCTGGTTTGCACGCGTCAACTGTAAAATCCTTTTGACATGCAGCCGGCTACTCTCTTTCGTCCGAAACTGGCCATAAAAAATGGGCTTTAGAAGCTGGGAATCCAATTATAAAGAATTTTAAACTATGTAGCGTGAACAGGACACTTAAAGTAGGCTAAAAGGGAAACCGAGCAAAAGCCAGGTTATTAGCGGATATATCCTGGTGAGTATGGTCGTGTGTGTGTGATGTGTGTGTGATGTGTGTGCTGTGTGTGTGGTGTGTGTGTGGGCAAGTTATTAAAAGGAAGCAAGTTCTGACAGGTCACAATCAGTCAAGGGCTCACCCAGCTGAGCTCCCCTACTGCTTCTCACTGTATAAAAATTGACGTGAAATTTATACGCCATTCCCGGCTTTTCGGGTTTGCCAGTTGAAGAAAAAATATAGCAACAATCCATAAAGTAAATGTAGCATTTAAACAAACAAACCGGTCGTCAGCAGTATTAGACGACATGGGAGGGACGGGAATGGGGAGGGGATGGAGCATCTGAATCCCAACCAGGAGCAGTGAGAAAACACTGGAGGGGAAGCCAAAACTGACAGTGACAACTGGCTGGAGTGACGGGGAGCACAAGGAGCAGCGTTGATGATGCTGCCCCCCAACTCCAAGTGGTAGCAAAGGAAAAAAAATTGACATAAGCGGATATGTTACCCAGCGCCTTTCCGGATCGTGTTGGGGCGTTCTCTGGGAAGTGGGCGTGGCAGTGTCCCACATAGGCGGCGGCTGCACGAGCAGTCAGCAGTGAGCTGTGAGCAGTGAGCAGATAAATTAATGCGATTTTTCATGTTGCATGCTTGAGTTTGATTTATGCAATTATATGTCTCTATATATGGGTGCTGGAGCGGAGCATGTGTATATCCGCACTGCGTGAGTGCGGCTGACAGACAACTTTTGTCAAATACGTCTAAAAGCAGTCATTTTTTATATTTGATATAAAGCGGAAATGCTAAGAACATTTCCGGTTCGTTACCTTCGCGCAATGAGAGCTTAGCGAAATAAGTGGCCGCACCGGAAATGCCCTTTGATATATTTTTAAGACCCTGTATGTGATATGATACAAGGGAAAGTCTTAAACAAAAGTCGCTTTAACAATATAGTTGAGTTTTTC